CAGGTATGGGACCTGGTACCGCAGCGATATCAACCTGCCCGAAGGGAGTTCCACAAACTTCTCTCCATCTACCTGGCGAAATAGCTTTTTCCTAATTGTCGAGGCTGAACCTCCTTGTAGCTGCAGCAGTATTGCTGACTTGGACGGATTGACCTTGAACCCAAGTTCAACCAATTGATCCAGAAGAAGGTCGCAGTACCCTAGTGCTGTAATGAGGCCAGACTCAGACTCGAAATGCGACTGAATCAAGCTATCATCCGCATACATGGTGAGAAGTTTAACTAGTTCGGGGGGGCTGATTTTTCCAGAGAGCTTCCTAAAGAGAAGCCCGGATGCAAAGGCGAATAGGGAAGGTGCAAGCTTGCATCCCTGCTTGATTCCCCTGCGTGTGGCTATCTCAAAGCTCTGATCGCTGGCTGTCATCTTGTACAAGGCTTTGATGTGGAGATGGCCCACCACCTCTATAAGAAGAGGGTCTGCTTGTTCAGCTTCCAGGGCTTCTCTTAATCGTAGCCTGTCCACAGTGTCAAAAGCTTTGCTCATGTCAACGCTCATCGTGAGACTGCCCCTGAGCTTAAGCCCCTGTTGTCCCTTACCAGCCGCTCTAGTTGTAAGGGCCTGCCTGAACCTGGCCTGATCCACATGTGTGAGGGCCTTACAGATCGCCTCCTCTGTGCCCCTACCTGGCACGAAGCCAAACTGAGAGACTCCTTGCATTGCTTGATGGAGGGTGGACTTGAGTCTCTGCCTCACAAGTCCTGCCAGGACCTTGCCCTCAGGTGCTATCACCCCGATCGGACGGAGTGATGTTGGCTTATCTGGCTTCTTGGGGGGCTTTGGGAGCCAAGAGATCTGTGACGAGGTGACGCTGTCCGAAAGCCTTCCTGCAGTGACCTCCCTATTGAGAGTGTCCGAGATAAGCCGAATAGCGTTGGGGCCTAGGGAGCGCCAAGCTACTATGGGAGGACTTTCTTTAGGAACTGCTTTGCCAAGCTTTATAGTGCCTAGCTGTTCTTGAACTTCTTGCTCGGTGATGTGCAGGCTGCCTTGTATCCCTGTGAGCGGGAAGTCGTCCCCTGCTCCAAACAGTTCAATGGAGTATTCCTCTAATTGTCTACGTTCTTCCTTGGCTGTTAGGAAGCGACCCTCTGAGTCACGTAGCTGAACTCTTTCCTGAGGCCTCCCCGACCGGAAGCGCTTGATCACCTTGTAGAGGGAATGACTCCCGTCTTGCTTGGATTTAAGCTCTGCCTGCTCGAGTTGTTCATCTATTTCCTGTCGTCGCCTTTCCTGCTTCTGACGCTTTGCTACCCTCGCCTGTGCACTTTGCTGAGACAGCGACAGCCAGCAGCGAAATACCATTCGGACCTGCAACTCCGGCAAGAACTCTGCTAAGACCTTGACTGACATTGGGAGTGAGCGCAACACTGTGCGCTCTGCCCAAATGCTGAGATCTGATCTTTGTGCTGCTCCCTTTCTCTTGGGAAAGTGAGTCGCGAGGGCTGAGTTCATTGCTTGATGGAGACTCTGCCAGGTTTGGGGATGATCCTGAAGGAGGGAGTCTACCTCCCTGGCAAATGCCTGTATTTTCGGGGAACGGTGTCTGTAGCAGTCCTCCATTGCCTGCTGGTCATAGGGTTTTGAGGCTTGGGCGGAGTATCTCCTGCTGTGCCTCAGTTTACCAAGAAGGGGGAAATGCCTACTACCATCCCTCCAGGATGCCACTGGGAAGGTCCTTAGTGGCCGGCAAAACCTGGCAGGGCCTTGGGACTGTGCAATCCTGACAAACGAGAAGTCAATCTGTGAAACAGAGTTGCCTTGTTCGTGGGTGGCTGGTCTATGCACTCCCCAAGTGTTGGTTGCGACTAGCTGGTGCTCCGACAGTAGGGTCTGGAGATCCTTAGATCCGCGATGCCCAAGTCTGCAAGCCTGGATCGTGCATGGCCCTACGTGTTTGTTGTCGGTCTTGAGCGAGGAGTTAAAATCTCCTAGCACAAGGAGAGTGTTGCGATTGGGAACAGCTCGGATGGACTTACTTAGGGCGTGAAGGGTCTGCTTCCGGGTTTCCTTATTCTGAGCGACTGTCTCCTTAGAGCGCCAAACGTATTGATAGCAGCTGAAGACGTCCAGTGAGATGCCGTTGCTCGGCACCCGGACCTGGAGAACTCTTCCTGGAACAACCTCGTTGTAGCGAAGATCCTGTGACTTGCACAGCGTGGAGTGCACCATTATGAGGACCCCGGCTCCCTTCTCCCCTGTGGAGCCAGAGCTGATCACGTGCCAACCTGACTTGCTGAATTGCCATGAGCCCCTCCAGTGTGTTTCCTGAATTGCTACCAGCTTCACATCCTGAAATGCGGCACTTTGCAGTACGGAGAGTAACTCTTCCCAAACTGCTGTTGTGAGAGATCCTGCGTTCCAGGATAGATAGCTGAGATTCTTATCTTCTGTAAATTTTGAAGGCCGAGTCCTTCTGCCGGGATTGGTGGGCTTTACATGT